TAGGACATGAAAAGTTGCTTCCATTATATGTTATTGTATAAAACGCAAACACGCCCATAAAAACTAAAAAACACAAAATGTGAAACCGCAAATTTGATTGTATCTTCACATGGACCGAACAAATCTTCATGCCAAATTTGATGGAGGTCCATCAACAGGGGGCGAAGTAGTGGTAGAAAATATGCAAAAACGCAAAATCCAAAACTGAAAATTTGTCGGTATCTTCCCATGGACCCAATAAACCTTCATATCAGAATTGGTGAAGATCCATCTACAGGGGGTGAAGTAGTAAAAAACGCAAAATGCAAAACTGATTATTTATATGTACCCCGCATGGACCCAATAAACCTCCATATCAATTTTGATGAAGACCCATCCACACTCTGCGAAGTAGTTACATGGACATACAACAGCCAACAGTCAGTACTATTATATTTATATAGATATAATAAGCATTGCATATGAAATAAAGATACCACTTATGAATAGAATGTTTGTTTGTTAATAAGCACAATATGCTATCTGGGATATCTCCACTGTTGGTATTGAAATCCGATGTTTAGCTTATTTACCGTAAGACTTGCCGCTAAGCCAGTGGGGTGGGATGGAGGAATGTGAATAGAATGAAATGAATCATATGACTGATTTTTGATTTTTCATTCGAAGAGAGCATATGAATAAAACGAAAGGAATCATATGACTAACTGTTTTTCTCATTTGAGAGGGGCGTGTGAATAGAATGAAAATGAGCTGAATGACTGATTTTTTTTCTAATTAAAATGGAAACTCTTTGGATGTTGTTATCGGAAGCCATAAGTTTTGGCTTTCTCAAATACTTGACTGTTTAAAACAAAATTGAAACAGTAGGGTTTGTGTCTTAGTAGCTCAAAGTAAATAATACTTACTGCCGTACGTTATATCATACGACTAAGGTCCGTAAATTATGTCTACAGAGCTATACAGTTGTTAAGTTCAAAGCTAAAATTACGTGTTTTTTTTTTTAATTCAAGAAAATGCTACACTATACATGGTATAGCTTTCAAATTCGTGGTCTAGTCAATCACCAAGAGCAGCTAATATGACTATTTGGAAGTCGTGTTAATTAGTATCAAGAACTTACTTATTTCTTGTTTGTTATTTGAACTAAACAGCTTGTAATTAACATTCTAGGACAAAAAAATATCTTGTTGGTGTTTTTTTTAGATATTAGCTGACTTATTCCTTTTATTGCTTCTTGTTTAGTCAACAGAGGAATCTTTTCCGTTACGCTTGGTAGCGTGTGAATCCAAACAGCAGCCAGCATGAATTTCTTGGTGCCTGACATCTAAGGTCTTGCAATTTTCTCGATCAATATTTGCTTCAGTAATCAAGCGATAGATGAGAGAGGTAAATTAGCAGTTCGAAGTAATAACCATCAAAGGTTATAAGCTCGGAAAGTAGAAAATTAGACGTTATGTCTTACTTACTATCCTGTTTTAAGACGTGCCACTTGTGAGAAGCTGAAGGATCACAACGTCCCGCAGGTTTCTAGTATTAATTAGCTTCGCTCAGCAATGGTTGTGTTGTACACTCTCTTGTTCATTAAGAATCGTTTTCTGCATGTTTTACAACCCTCGGGTGCAATCTAATGGAGAAACACACCAGGGAAGTCGTGTTTCATCAATATGGCAAAAGTGTTCTGTTTTGTTCTCACAAAACAATCTTCTTAGAACTTTTTCCTGGGAAGGGGAAAACATTTAGTCCTCACTACCGTATTTCTGAAACGTATTCTGCAAGAGATAACGTGACAAAAAACCCCAACCACTTTTCCAGCAGAATCCCAGACTGCCAGAAAAAAAAAACAGTACAATGTTAGTCCTATATCAAAATTAAATCTGAAATGAAAGACTAAACTTGTGTGCTTTGAAGCAACGAATGAGTAAAAAGGACAAAAGATGGGGAAAAAAATGCGTTCTTGGGTATTAGGATGACTAGAAGTATATACTCAAGGAAAAATAACTAAAGATATTGCACACAAAATCATACGATAAGTGGTGTGATTAGTTTGAAGGAAAAGAATATATGCCTATATTAATGGAATCAAGTTTATAATTATTTCTTACATAATTATCATTGAACGTAAAGCACCGCAGCTTCCTATAGCATCAGACTAATGTTGTTTTCTTTGTAAAGCATCGTAGCGTCCTATAGCATCAGACTAATGTTGTTTTATTTGGACAAAACGCAGGAAAAAGTGCTGCGTTTTTATGGTATGAAATGTACGTTGAATTTTATGATATTGGATTTTTAAAGATTTCTTACTCAAATTTGAAGGAATAAAGCGTTGGACGGTTTAAAGTTTGTGTGTTTGTTTTTTAAAACAATTGCATGGAGATAATTAACTTGCTATTAACAGCATATTACAATTTCTATACAATCACGTTCATTTGAGGCAAAATGTTAGGAATTTTAAGGTGATTTTGTGGAATACAATATAAAAAAACATCTAGTATATGCTTATACGATTTCAAATATGGCAGTTGGTAAGTAAAACAGTTTTGAAGTATAACTATATATATAGTAGATACGTTGATAATGTGTTTGGAGGTTACATCGAAACTCATAAGTAAACATGATTCAGCTAATATGGGATAAAATTATGTTCATATGTTGATACCAAATATTTTCAACATTGTTAAATAATAAAAATGGAAAAACAGTAGTTACAGCCAAGTTGTTTTGGTGGAGCGAATCATGGACTACCATGGCTGACTTTTCGAGATCTGGATGGAAAATAATAAAGGCAGAAATCACATTCTGTCTGCTTTAGATAAAACGATGGTCAAAAAATTCTTGGAGAAATTTGTAGGTAGAAAATCCAATATAAGTGTCAATACATAACAGATCAAGTTACGTCACCTGTCAAAAGTGAGTAAGCTCTTATTTATATCATACGCCCTTCCCATTATGAGTTGAAAGACACACGTCTAGTGGATTTTCTCTGAAATTTTCTGAGATAAACACCTTTAAACCCATAAACAAAACATAAACCATAAATTCCATAAACTTTAAAACCGTAAACTCCATTATAAGGGGGGAGTAGATTTTTTTGCGTTATGAGCTTTTTAAATCGATGCAATATTGGCAAAATAACATTATACACCGAAACTTTAGGCTTTAGATAATAGTACTGGGCGTGGCCCAATGCATTACGTGGCCTGACTGGCAATTCAAAAGTTCATGGTTCGCATTCCATTGCCACAAAATGGGGCTCCGAATTATTAACTCGTGGGTACACTATAAGAGTGACAGTCAAATCTTATTACTCAATTAGACAAGTAAGTGTAGGAAATGTGTACTATTGGCTATCTGCCCACCCTCTAGTATAACAACTCGAAATTATGCAAGTGTAGGAAATGTGTACTATTGGCTATCTGCCCACCCTCTAGTATAACAACTCGAAATTATGCAAATGTAGGAAATGTGTACTATTGGCTATCTGCCCACCCTCTAGTATAACAACTCGAAATTATGCA